TCTCAGACAGACAGATGAATGTTCCTCAGAGATGTATTGATTCAATGCGTCTTTGTGAGGAGATGCTGATTGGCACTGTTTCACTGTGCATGTGTGATGGCTTCCTAATGCTTTCCTATGGGAACGCATTGGATTTTCTGAGATAATCAAGTTAGATCTCAGGCAAGGGGGCAGAGCGTTGGCTGAGCCAGCCGAGAGGAAACCCACGTGCCACTGTAGAGAAGTGAGTAAACATACCTTTTGCCTTGCTGACAGGGGGACAGGAGGCTTAAATAGTGCTATTAGAACTATAGTGTCAGAAATACACGTTTATAATCCTGACTCTCTACTGTTCCTTTAAATAAAACCTAACGTTAAGGAAGGAAGTAAATCTTATAGTTCTTATTATGCATAGACAAGAGCTTTAATGAAATGGTAAATTGAGCTTTTTGAATGAATAAATAAGATTACACGGCTAGAAAATGTTAGTTTTTAGATTATGTTTACAAAGGATTCAAAGGGGGCACATTTCTAAGTAACTTTGGATACCTCCTCTCTGCAGCATATTGAGGGTGTGTGAAAGAAAAAGTTGCAAGCCTTGTTTTTGTTATCATATTGTTTTACATAAACGATGATTTGTCGCATATGACAAGTTCCGGTTTATTCCAGACTGTAAATTGAAGAATAAGGATGTGATGTCTTCACATTTGTAAAGCAAAGGGGGGAGGGGGAAACCCTAATTTATTATATAAGGGGAAAATATATAAAATAAGTTGCATGGTAACCAAAACACACGTATCTCAATAGACCACCCAAGTGCAGCAATAGATAATAAAAATAAGGTTGAATTACTTCCCTTAATAATCTAAGTTGTAACAAAGGATTCCTCAAAGCCTCACAAAATGCATACAAAATATACGATACACCTAGATAAAAACAGAAAGAAAGAGACAATCATAGGGAAACACCGTTAAGTAGATGGGTCCCTACTAAAATATTGCACTCACAAAATGACGGAGAAATTCAAGCCCATCAAGGTTTCTTTAAATCTTGTCAAAAATCTTGTGAAGGAATTCCTGATTCCTCAAGTGTACATGTAAAAGAAAAACTGAACATAGCATAGAATTGTAGGATATTTAAAAAGCACAATTTATTGGAAACACTTACAAGAAGTGAAAGATAAAAATGCCCATCAAATATTAGTCCCTCTTTCCAAGATGACAAATGGAAACTTCAAATACAGGGATGACATGCAGCAATAAAACCAGCTCTACGCGTTTCGTCTAAGAATTAGACTTCATCAGGAGTAATTCAATAAAAAACAGTATTGCAATCAAATAACAAATGCTAATAGTCTCTTCTGTTCAGTCTTCTTTTAAATGTCCCTCTCGCCGGGTTTGGCTTCTCATCATCCAATCTGCATGCTTGGCGTCACCTGTTCCAAGTAAGCTGAATTCCGAGTCCATATAAGGACTTCCGCCGAGCGAGCGGAAGAAAGGAACTCCCTCTGCATCCGTCATCTCTTAGCGGCTGGAACGCACATGCGTTCCACCGGACAGTGCGCAACCTCGATGGAAATCAGTCCATAATATAGAGGAGAACATAGAGGAGGAGAATAGAATAATATAAAATGAAAATACAAGAATATATAGAATAATACAGAACATACCATAATCTGACATGGTATATAAAACCATGCATGTTAGAATATCAAAGGAACATATCCCATAGTACCAAAGAGTGAATGTATCAAAAATAGAAGTGAATACATAAATTTCAAAGGGAATGATCCTGGAATACATATGAACAAATAAAATAAAATAAATGGGAAAATAAAAAATATAAAAATATAATAGAAAATATGTAACAATAAAAATAATAAAAATAAACAAATAAAACTAAATAAAAATAAAATAAAAATATAATAATGAAAATAAAATAAAAAGTAAAAATACAAATAAAAATGAAAATAAAAATGAAAAATCAAACGATAAAAATGAGAATAAAAATAAGAGTAATAATTATTAAAAAATCAAAAAGTCAAAAAAAATGAATGAAAGATAAGAATAAAAAATTAAAAATTTAAAGAAAACATATTAAATCAAAATCCACATTCAACCCATATGGTTAAAGGGTTTTTAATTCATGAATCCAGAATCCTTCTCTTTGTCTCAATTTCATAGTGATATCTCCACCCCTTATACCAAGCGATACCTGTTCTATAATCACCCATGAAAAATTGTGGGTTTGAAATTGGGGACACTGATTACAATCGATGGGAATAGAGTGATTTTTGAATTTACGTCTAATATTGTTTTTATGTTCCAAAAAATCTTTGCCTTTCACCCCGTCCTCCCCACATATTGAACACCACACCTACATGTGAGGAGATACACAACATGTGAGGAAGAACAGGTTACCCGTCTTTGGATTTGGAAAGTTTCTTTGGTAATGAAACTCGAAAAGGAATGGGTATAGGATGGTAGTCCTCTACAGGCTTTACAAGTACCGCAAGTGTAAAATCCTCTACTACCCTCCAATTCATGTTGGTCCCTATTTCGAAAGTGACTGGGTGCTAAATATGATGGAAAAACTTCTCCCTTTTCTATATACTATTTGAGGATGCATAGTTAATTGGGGGCCTATAAATTCATCATGTCTCAGAATGTTCCAATGTTTTTTAAAAATTTTATTAATGGCAGAAGCTTGAGAATTATAATTAGTGTGAAATGAAAACTCAAATGCTTTATTGGAATTTTCAGTGCGTTTGATTTTATCAACCAAAAGATCACCTCTTTTGATATTTTCCACTCTCTCTATCTCTCTATTTAGGATCTCTTTTTTGTAACCTTTCTCAATAAATTTCTTTTTTAGAATGTCAGCTTGTTCTAAATAGATGTCCTTATTTGAGCAATTTCGTTGGAGTCGGGTGTACTGACTTCTGGGTACTCCCGACAACCATCTAGGATGGTGTCCACTAGTGGATTCGATGTAACTGTTAGTATCAGTAGGTTTAAAATACATTTTAGTATGGATATGACCTCCTCGTGTTGAAATAGTCAAATCCAAAAAATCTATGGAAGTAGAACTGTACATGGGGGGAAAAAACAAGTGAAAAGGTGTTATCATTAAGATACTTAAAAATTAGAGGATTTTACACTTACGGTACTTGTAAAGCCTGTAGAGGACTACCATCCTAAAGCTGTTCCTTTTCGAGTTTCATTACCAAAGAAACTTTCCAAATCCAAAGACGGGTAACCTGTTCTTCCTCACATGTTGTATATCTCCTCACATGTGGGTGTGGTGTTCAATATGTGGGGAGGACGGGGCGAAAGGCAAAGATACGTTTTTTGGAACATAAAAACAATATTAGACGTAAATTCAAAAATCACTCTATTCCCATCGATTGTAATCAGTGTCCCCAATTTCAAACCCACAATTTTTCATGGGTGATTATAGAACAGGTATCGCTTGGTATAAGGGGTGGAGATATCACTATGAAATTGAGACAAAGAGAAGGATTCTGGATTCATAAATTAAAAGCCCTTCAACCATATGGGTTGAATGTGGATTTTGATTTAATATTTTTTATTTTTTATTCTAATTTTTTTGACTTTTTGATTTTTTTAATTTTTAATAATTATTACTTTTATTTTTATTCTCATTTTCATTTTTATCGTTTGATTTTTTGATTTTTACTTTTTATTTTATTTTTCATTATTATTATTATTTTATTTTTATTTATTTAGTTTTATTTGTTTACTATTTGTTTATTTTTATTGTTACATATTTTCTATTCTATTTTTTATTTTCCCATTAATTTCTTTTATTTTATTTGTTCATATGTATTCCAAGATCATTCCCTTTGAAATTTATGTATTCACTTTTTTTTTTTTTTTATACATTCACTCTTTGGTACTATGGGATATGTTCATTTGATATTCTAACATACATGGTTTTATATACCATGTCAGATTATGGTATGTTCTGTATTATTCTATATATTCTTGTATTTTCATTTTATATTATTCTATTCTCCTCCTCTATGTTCTCCTCTATATTATGGACTGATTTCCGTCAAGGTTGCGTACTGTCCGGTGGAACGCATGTGCGTTCCAGCCGCTAAGAGATGACGGATGCAGAGGGAGTTCCTTTCTTCCGGATCGGTGGAACGCATATGCGTTCCATGGAACGCTCGGCGGAAGTCCTTATATGGACTCGGAATTCAGCTTACTTGGAACAGGTGACGCCAAGCATGCAGATTGGATGATGAGAAGCCAAACCCGGCGAGAGGGACATTTAAGAGAAGACTGAACAGAAGAGACTACTAGCATTTGTTATTTATTTGATTGCAATACTGTTTTTTATTGAATTACTCCTGATGAAGTCTAATTCTTAGACGAAATGCGTAGAGCTGGTTTTATTGCTGCCTGTCATCTCTGTATTTGAAGTTTCCATTTGTCATCTTGGAAAGAGGGACTAATATTTGATGGGCATTTTTATCCTTCACTTCTTGAAAGTGTTTCCAATAAATTGTGCTTTTTTAATATCCTACAATTCTATGCCATGTTCAGTTTTTTCTTTTACATGTACACTTGAGGAATCAGGAATTCCTTCACAAGCTTTTTGACAAGATTTAAAGAAACCTTGATGGGCTTGAATTTCTCCGTCATTTTGTGAGTGCAATATTTTAGTAGGGACCCATCTACTTAACAGTGTTTCCCTATGATTGTCTCTTTCTTTCTGTTTTTATCTAGGTGTATCTTATATTTTGTATAGTAACCAAAACACCCGCATACCTAATATGTACCTATATTGTATACAATTTCAATATATCACACAAACTGTAGTAGAGGTGATGAAGGCCCTGTTTAATTCATCTTATAGATCCTATAGTGTAAATTGTGGATAGCTATGTACCGCAGAATTCTAAACTCGTCTTTTCTCTTCAGCGGATTCCTCTCCTCAAGGTCTTGATCAAGGAAAGCTCTTGTGGCTGCTCTTCGGCTGAGGTCTTTAGGATGGAGAGGATAATTCTGGACAAACTGAACTGGGACCTTCACATGGCCACACCGTTGGATTTCCTTCATATTGTAAGTTCTAGGATGTATTTAATTGGGAAGATGTTTTAACAAAAACGAGTCTAGGTGGTTGTAAACCTCGAAATAAAAAAAAAAAACTGCTGTTTTGTCTCTTTATTATTCTTTATATTTTATAATTGCTTAAGCTGAAAAAAAATTCCCTATAGATTGTCTACATTCCAAGATGTTATACCATAAAACCATTTCTTTTAATTTGGGGGGATTTTGATACTTCAAATTATGAACTTATTTACAGCACATTGTGTTGCATCTTCTGACCTGTTGACAATGGTAGAATAGTGCAATGAAAATTTCTTTTTTGAAATGCCACTTTGTAACATTGTAATATTTGTATTTACTTTTAGTTCCATGCCATGGCATTAGCTGCTAGTCCTCAGCTGCTGGATCAGATGCCTGAAGTGAACAAATCACAGCACATAGCACTGCTTACCAACCAGCTTCTCCAATGCATGGCATCTTACCAGCTCTTGCAGTTTAAAGGTTCCATGCTGGCACTAGCACTACTCAGCCTGGACATGGAAAAACTGCTTCCTGATTGGCTCGCTCTTACCATCAAGCTGCTCCAGACTGCACAGGTGAGTAACTTCTCAGATCCTAGCCTCCTATGTCTAGTAGAAAAAAAAAGCGCAGATATCAATGCTAGCAAACTGGTCTAAACATCAGTCTTGATGCGTTTCATTTTCATGTATTATTTTTGTGCAGAATGGAGAGTGATCCAGCACACTTGGGAATGATGATAATAGATTGCGTTGATTAACCTTCCCATTAATTATGCCAATGTAATTTTTCACTACCACACATCACATAGATCAGCTTCATATCGATGCATTATGAATGAACCTCTTAAACTAGGTTGACTTACCATTATTACATTTTCTTAGTCTGCATGTAAACATAACTCAATGTTTGAGAAAATAAACATCTTCTGTGAAATCTTTATTCTTGCAAAAGGTCGTGAATTGAATGTGAGAACCCTGATATCTGTTGTGCTCTCAGTATATATATAATATTATGTAGTTAAACAAAATTGATGATTATAAAAATGTGTCTGGGACCTGATTTCCTGTAATTGGTGGCTTTATAGCTCCTGTTGTTGGAATTTTTGCTCATGGATGTTCATCTCTTTGCTCTAAATTTTCAGATGGATAGCTCCGAGCTGTTCCACTGTCGGGAAGTAGCAGCACTGCACCTTTCTCCTCTGCAGGTTCCCTTGCCTCCCAATGCGTTATACGTCTACCATCCCCTCAAGCGTACCTTGGTAACCTGCAACAGAGGAGCGTTTCAAATGCACCCCTCCCCTGTGTCAGGGCCAGGAATTCAAAGCAAGTGTACACCAGGAGGTCTGACCAATAGAGCAGCTGTCCTCCACCGGCGACTGGCAGCTCCCGCCACTTGTAAGCAGGCTTCTGCCAAACGAAAGGTGGAGCAAATGGAAGTAGACGACTTCTATGACGGGATCAAAAGGCTCTACAATGAAGATGGTGCTGCGGAGATTGGGGGCATGGAGATTGTGACTTGCGGCAGTGGCAAGTCCAGAAAAGAAGGCAGCATATCTCCATGCCCACAATTACAGGCAGTGCCTGTTATGTAACATCAAAAGTACCATGTGCCAGATAAGATTCCCCTTGAGAGCTGTTAATGCCATGCCTTGCCAGATTTGGGACAGAGACCAGCATGTCTTGCCTGATTTTCTCATGCTGCTAATCCTAGCTCAATATTATTGTCATTAAAAGAAAAAAAAATAGATGAAAACAAAAAAAAACTATTTAAAAAAAAATAAAAATCCAAAAGTCTGAAAACAGGAACAAAAAAAGTAGCAAAATTGTTTAAACTTTTTAGTGTCGTCAGTTCCATTTCTGTAAGCTAGTGTATCTTCTGTAACATATTCTCGTGCAAGCCTGTTCTACCAGGTCCTCTGAGCTTGTCCTTCACTATTATCTGATCCTTCTTGTCTTTTTTTTTTTTTTTGTTTTCTGTTCTCTGTGTGCTTGTGCTTCTCTGTGCACACTGACCCTACACTAAAAATGTTTTAATTCCTTTTTAAATTATCAAAAGATAAGTGACATCACTAGGGCAAGTTAAAGGACCACTATAGTGCCAGGAAAACATACTCGTTTTCTTGGCACTATAGTGCCCTGAGGGTGCCCCCACCCTCAGGGACCCCCTCCCGCCCGGCTCTGGAAGGGGGAAAGGGGTTTAAACTTACCTTTTTCTAGCGCTGGGCGGAGAGCTCTCCTCCTCCTCTCCGCCTCCGTTACGCCCCGCTGAATGCGCACGCGCGGCAAGAGCTGCGTCGCATTCAGCCGGTCGCATAGGAAAGCATTTACAATGCTTTCCTATGGACGCTTGCGTGCTCTCACTGTGAAAATCACAGTGAGAAGCACGCAAGCGCCTCTAGTGGCTGTCAATGAGACAGCCACTAGAGGATTAGGGGGAAGGCTTAACCCATTCATAGTTATAGCAGTTTCTCTGAAACTGCTATAATTATGAAAAAATGGGTTAACCCTAGAAGGACCTGGCACCCAGACCACTTCATTAAGCTGAAGTGGTCTGGGTGCCTAGAGTGGTCCTTTAAGCTAGTTCATTGTGAAGTCACGACTCAAGTATAAATCTATATAGTTTTGTCTTATCTAGTTCTCAGTCACATATACAGTACCCGTTTAATTTCAAATTCGGGGGCTTAATGCAGAATACTGCAAACATTTATTTGCCCTCTTTTAATACTCCAATCATTGCAATAATAACTACTGTACAGAAATACGTATTGGTAGTGTTGTGAAATCATTCATTAATTAGTGATATGAAGCCTTTCAGTGCTTTCCTCTACAATATAAAATATAGGATATCGCAGTAGTAACATCATGGTAAGATTTCAGTGACAAGTAGGTTGATATACATACATACATACATGTAAATTAATATATGGGTTTCTTTCAATTGCAGTTCAGCACTGACCAAATCATTTTGGAATTACTCACATCATATTAGATTGGGGGAATTGCTTTTTGCAGTTATATAAATGCATCCTTATAGAACCATTGCTGGTTTTAAGAATGTCTAGGTTAGAATCTGGGTTCTAGAGACCACGATAAGATCAGATCTGATTTAGCAGTAATTCTAATATGTCTGAGCATGTGTGTTTATTTCTTTCTGTAAACCTGCCCTTTCTCATGATGACCCTCTCTTGAGGTCTCTGCACAGTCTGCGGAGGGCATGGCAATTAAAATATCTGCTTCAAAATAAAGTCCTCCTGGCCACTCCGAATCATTATCTCTGTCTGAGTTATTGTCTTCAGCTGTTTTTTTTTTTTTTGTTTGTTTGTTTTTGTAAAGGGTATGTGTGATAAAACTGAGCAGTGCACTGACACGGATTGTATAAATAGTGCATGTAAATCATACAGTGAACGCTGCTTACAAACTGATACATTTGTGGAGCAATTGTGGAGAAATGATAACGAATTGAAAGTTTTAAGAATTCAGCTATTATGTTCTAAAATTTGCAACTTAATTTGATTATCCACAGTGCTCCATTGTCATGAATAACATTTAGCAGAGTTGACATTTTTTCAAATGCACAGAACCTCCAGCTGCTAACAGTCCTTGGTCCTTTGTCCGGTAAAACTTTATGGACTAGAGTGCACTAACAGCTCGTTGCTGGAAAATATACCATCTTTCCACAGGATGGTTTCCAATAGCTTTAGAATTCCTGAATGGGCAGGGAGAGAATGATTAAAAGAGGAGACCGTTATACTGGGAGTGGAAGAAAAGAAGTAATTAAATTGTAAACATCCTGATAAATAAAATGTATTTATCATGTCTTTCCTCCTTTCACTGCAATCTGGTTTTCCTTTATTTACAATTCACAATTTAGTATTTTCATCCCCTCCCTGATCTGGTATTTATTGAAAACGTGTGTGTATATATACTGTACTTTAAGACCGGCTTTGTTGATTTAAGAGACACTCCAAGCACTATAACCACGACAGTGCTCTGTAGCGTTATTGTGTGAATAGTGCCTTGGTGACCCTTATTGTAAACTGTTTTGGAATGCTTTGACTTTTTACCTGGGATCTCCCGTGCACTGCTTATAACCGCCACTAGAGCTCCAGGAGTGCCAGCTGATCACTCTCCTGTTCACAATTTGGCTGAAGTTCACAGGAGACTGCATCCAACAGACTGAGCGAGGTGAATGTGGTTGACCGCTACAGGGGATCTTAATGCTGTAAGATGCACTGTTGTTGTGTGCAGGTGGTTTAGATTCTTTCTCACACTCTATTATTTCACCTGCTCACCCATACACATTCTCTCACACACACTTAGAAATAAATGTTGTTATTCATTGTCTTTTTAAAATAATAATTTGAGGCCCACCCAGCTTCCTTACCTTTTGGAGAGCTGGCATGGGTCCTTTCCATGGGCTCTAGTGTGGGGTAGCTTTAGTCTTCTTGTTCTTCCTCATGTGCTGTTTAGTGATGTAATATACCAGCTCCTGACATCTTCATAGAGGGTGTGTAAGTGCAGAGCAGTGAGGAAGAGCAGGAGGATCAACGCTCCCTTGCCGCCCATGCGCATCCCTCCTCCCAGACTCTGTATTTCGGCAGCTGCTGTTCAGGACACCTCCTGTGGGATCCTAAGGTGGCCAGCAACCAAAATGGACCCAAAATACTTAAACAGGCCAAAACAGCAGGGCGGCTAATTTATTTTTTTTTTTTACATTTTGCAAATGTATTTGTGTCTGTCTATCTACCATTGTGTATCTGTCTCTGTCTTTGTATCTATCTGTGTGTCTGTCATACCAGAATTGGTGATTTCCTTGTTCCACTTTGGGGTTTCACCGATCGCCCCGCTTCCGACATCAGATACCAGCCTATTTAATCAGACTCAAGGCAGTGTTGAATTGCTCACTCAAATTGTTTCAGTGATTCAATACTGCTGTTTGAGCTCCCACTTACCTGAAATCTTTGTGTACTGAACCTCAGTTTGTGACTTTGTTTCTGCCGATCCTCCCTACTCCTGACCTTGGAACTCAAGACTATTCTATTGCTAAAATATTACTTTTGCTTCAAGGTGAAATAAATTATCCAAAGAAACCGTCTCCTCTGAAAGCTGACTTTAGTGAATATCCTCCTAGAGGAATTAACTGGCTTTCTTTTGATATTGTTCTCTAAATGCTACAAAAAAAACCTTTTTGGCGGTATTACTATGAAATTGTGTATATCCTTTTCTCCTGTGATACTACAGATTGATTAAGTTCACTCATCTCCTCTGTAAAGACTCTGTCTATATCTACTGCTTCCAATTTACTAAAGAGACACTTATTTAAAATCTATTACATTTCAGCTAAAGTTTGTTGAAATATTTAATTTAGTGACTAAATAAAGAGTTGAACCTGCAGAAAATTGAAAAGCATAACAGTCTGTTTCTGCATCTGTGTGTCTGTGTAGCTATATGTGTACCTGTGTGTGCCCCTGTGTATCTGCATTTGTGTAATTGTTTCTGTATCATTGTGTGTATGTGTGTCTGTGCGTGTCTGCGAATCTGTATGTTTTACATGTGTATGTGTTTCAGTGTGTGTCTATCTGGATATGTGTCTGTGTCTGTACTGTATCTGCATGTGTGTATGTGTATCACAGTGTGTTTGGCAGTGTATTTGTAATGTGCATACATCTCAGAATTTAAATGCCAACACTAAACACAAATATACCCCTGCATTCAAACATCAACAATACATACAGTCACAACCCTACATTCAAAGACAAACACAACACACTAGTAAACCACTGCATTCAACTGTTAACAGTACATGAAAACACATAGCACTACACACTACATTACTAGTACTATTTTGTAAAATCAAGACTATTTCCGTACTGCGTCTAGAAATGTTTTTCTTTATATTGGGCATTATAGCTCCAACACTACTAGTATTGAGATACCACATTTATCTATTTGAATAAGTGTGTGACCTGCATTGAAAGATAATGAAGACTGCAGACGGTTGTCTACAATTGACTGATGTAGATAGTGAAGTGTCTCTGCATTAGTAGGTAGTTTGGTCATCCTAATGGATGGGAAAATGCTGCAGAGTTAATTGTGTGGTTTTCAAGGCCTGTTGCACAGTGCGGCTCAGACTGACTGAAAAATGTAGGTGGGGCAAGAGACAGAGCAACAGAGATTACAGAACTGCCACTACTCCGCATGTTTTTTTTATTCTTTATTTTTAATTCTCATGTATCAAGACAGAAATATTAGTAACATTGTTAACGAAGACCATCTCAAGATGTTTACATTGAATGAATGACTGAACTTGATGTTCAACCTGACTGATCTTCTGATCCTGGCTCCTACAGAGAAAACCTGCTATTTTCTGATTACCTTTAATACCTTCTTGCTTTATTTCAAACCTACTTTACACCTATCTAAATCTACGCAACCAAACTGGATAATACAAACATTCCTGTTATTTGCAACTATCCAGAACGACCCTGTTATAACAATCTGAAATTTGCAGTACTTCATCCAAAACCAAAGAGGCTGATCCCCTAAACGTCTGAATAACCTGTATTTCTTAAACCTTTATATTCTGTTTAGTTCTGTCTAGTTATATTTTGTTTACCTGTAACCCAGGGGTCAAGTCCTGGGGGAAAAAGTGTGGGAACGCACCCAAGATTCCCCCCCCCCCCCAAAAAAAAAAAAGTACACTCCTATGCACATAGTGCAGGGTGTGTATAATAAATGTAGTGTGTGTGTATTGAATGCAGAGTATGTATAATGAATGTAGTGTGTTTGTAGTAGGTGCAGATTGTGCATAGTGTTTGTAGTGAGTGCAGAGTGTGTATAATGAATGCAGTGTGTGTAGTGAGTGCAGAGTAAGTATAGTGAATGTAGTGTGTGTGAAGTGAGTGCAGAGTGTGTATAGTGAATGTAGTGTGTTTGTAGTAAGTGCAGAGTGTGTATAATGAATGTAGTGTGTTTGTAGTAAGTGCAGATTGTGTATAGTGTTTGTAGTGAGTGCAGAGTGTGTATAATGAATGCAGTGTGTGTAGTGAGTTCCGAGTAAGTATAGTGAATGTAGTGTGTGTGAAGTGAGTGCAGAGTGTGTATAGTGAATGTAGTGTGTTTGTAGTAAGTGCAGAGTGTGTATAATGAATGTAGTGTGATTGTATTAGGTGCAGATTGTGCATAGTGTATGTAGTGTTTGTAGTGAGTGCAGTGTGTGTGTGCTGAATGATGTGTGTGTGCTGGATGATGATGATGTGTGTGTGTGCTGGATGATGTGTGTGTGCTGGATGATGATGTGTGTGTGTGCTGGATGATGTGTGTGTGTGTGATGATGTGTGTGTGTTAGGGGGGGGGAAGCATTTTTTTTTTCAATTTGTGTGTGTATATTTTTAATTTTATTCCCTCCTCCCTGCTACTTACCTTGTCAGGGAGGAGGGAGATCACAGTCCCTGGTGGTCTGGTGGTATGGTGGAGGGAGCCAGCCGCTGCCCCTGGGGGCCCAGCATACTCTGTGTTCCCTCTCCAGCTCTGTCTAACTCTCGTGAGACTCGCCTGCGTGCTGTGCGGAGCGTTGCCATAGTAACTCGCGGCAACGCTCTGACGACCGCAGGACTCGCAAATGTGAGACACAGAGCAGCTGGAGAGGGAACACAGAGTGTGCTGGGGTCCTGCAGGACTACTAGCGGGAACAGCGTTCCTGCTTTGTAAAAAGTACAGGAACGCCGTTTCCAAGCGTTCCTGCAGGACTCGAGCCCTGCTGTAACCTATATTTTCATTTATAGGTTTTCCTTCACTTTAATTACCTATAATCTCACTTATAGGTTTTCCTTCTACCTAATAACCTGTCTGGGACATATTGCCTAATCTCTATTCTTGTTACATATAATCTCACTTATAGGTTCTGCTTCTCTCTTTGTCCTATATTTTCCTTTATAGGTGTTATTTCCTAAGTATCTTGTTTTGGGCATTAATATTCTCTTTTTACTCTCATTCCTCTGTATTATTTCCACTTCCCTTTAAGTCCTGCTGTACTTATTGTTCCCAGAAAAACCATGTCAAAGCTTACCAATAAAGAACCTATAGTTAACCCTGGTATAAGTCTCTCTTATGTGACCTGATCAGAAACCAGACAGTGATTTGTTTGGGAGGCCCTCTATCGGGTGTGAAAGCAGGAACGTCCATGGGAAGAGTTCTACAGGTCTCTGAAGAACTCCGGCTGCTAAATCCCTAACTCCCTTACTCAGCATGTTTTATATTATGTTAATTGACTTATAGTTAACAAATTAAATGCAGAAACCCACTGTGACGAAGTGCCCTTCGCCACTTGGTCCTGGAGAGGCCTGCTTGCCAGCCTCCTCCCCTGTGACTATGACTCTTTGATGTATTTGGATTTAAAGCCCCTATTCTACCTTTAGACAGACTATTTATGTAGGTTGCTTTATTTCTCTTATGTTTTAGTCACCCTGTACCCATTATAGGTGCAGGGTGTGTGTAATGTAATTGTTTATAGTGTGTGTGTGTACTGTGTAATGTATTGCCTGCTCTCCTGTACTGCTGAGGTTTGCTACCAACTAGGTGGGTTTGGCTATGGAGCTTGTCTAGAGCCCCTCTGTTGGTAGCAACAGCAATATGCACTACCTGAATACCAAGACTGGTTCATTTGCATATTCGGGTAGATTTGCATATTGCTAATTCTGCAGATACGTGAGATATTTTCTGTTAAATATTGTCTCCCCCACCCCTTTAAAAATGTGCCATTGTGTTGTGATAAGTCACTGTGTGTTGCCTGCTATGGTTTGACTGTTTGTGATTTTATTGAGTTTTCACAGCAATGTTAATGTTGTGACCCTATGGGCTGGTCCCAAGGGAAAAAAATGTTTAGACAGTTCTTCTTGATCCCTCTAAATGTAGCCTTGTCTTGTTATTGGAGGGAGTTGTTAAAATCACACTGGGGATTGCTATACTCTGCATACTCCCCTGAGCTCGAATCACTTAGCTCTTTTAAGAGCTTGTTCCTGACACGCTCTCCTAGGAGGAGATGTCTTCACCACACGGTCCTGGATGCTGGAGGTTCATACAGGGTGGAAGGAAGAGGTCTTTCCCACACGTTCCTGGAGGACAGAAGCTGATCCAGGGTGGAAGGAAGACGGCAAGACTCCAATCAAGCTACAGCGGTTGCGGAGTCTGAGGTGGTTGTGGTGTCTGCTGCAGTGCTTGGAGTCCTCAGTAAGCGCTAGGAGCATCCTTCAACGGAGGTACCCAGTTGGGATGCCAGGTGATCCGTTACACCCACACTTCTTTATTTGTGACTTGGTGCCCCCATCTTAGCTCTCTGTCAATCATTGTTATGAGCTCTGTCCTTTGCACCTGGCAGTCAATGTAGAAAATGTAGAAGAGTGAAATAAAAGAATGTTTCTATTTGTCCCCATCTGACTTTGTATCCTGGCTAGGTCAGGACTAAACTCGATTGTTATGCAAATTGCCAACTCTTTAAAGGGACATTACAGAGTTAGGAATACAAACCTGTACTCATAAACCTATAGCGTTCTCTGCATTTAGTTTAAGCCCTCCAAATCTAATTAAAAAAACAGAAAAGAGGGTCTTACCTTTATTTTTTACAGCCCTGAGATCCAGTCCTTGTGGCCACTCAATATGCCACCTGCTATATGCAATATGAAGCTCGTGTTTCGCTTCTTTGTCTAATGTCACCATGTCTTCGTAGGATGCCCCGCCTCTGAGGTAAGAGGCTTATAACCATTGAAGAGCTCGGTAGTTGAGCGGGCCTTGGAATATGGCCTGGATGGAAGCTACCAGTAGTCCGATGACTCGTGCCAAGTGTTTGAGGGAGAGATGGGAAACAGCCAATGTGCGCCTAATTTCTTTTTTGATATTTAGCAATTTTGATTCTCGAAGATGCAATGTCTGTGAGGTTGAATCGATCACTAATCCCAAGAATTCGATATGTTGAGCGGTGTCAAAATTTATTTTTCACAATTGATAAGGTAACCCAGGTTTTGTGGTAACGCCAGAGTCAATGTCAGATGTGTGTAGAGAAGGTTGGCAGAATTGGCTAAAAAGAGGATATCATCCAGATAGATGATTAGCCGAACACCTTGACTTCATAGCAGAGAAACCACGGGTTTCATGATCTTGGTGAAACACCTGGGGGCTGATGACAGGCCGAACAGGAGGCATGTGAACCTCCATTTCCTTTCTTGCCATGTGAATTGGAGAAAATTTTTATGTTGTTCCGCTAATGGGACCATTAGATACACGTCTGTATGTCTAATTTGGCCATCCAGTCTGCTGGTTGTAGTAAGTCGCATAGGCTGTGTACGCCTTCCATTTTGAAATGGTGATAGGACACGTAACCGTTCAATTGTTTAAAATTTATGACTGGTCTCACCCCTCCACCTTTTTTGGGTTTGCTGACATAACCCGGTGTATTGGTTGGGATCTCTGTGATGGCTTGTTTGCGCATCAATTCGTGAATTTCCTAGGATACAAGAAGAGTTTTGTGTTGGGAAAAAAAATCTCTCTGGGAGGGAAGGTTTAGGTCGGGTGCAACACAAAATCTATGCAATAACCTGTTTTAGCTTGAAGTACCCAAGCATCTGACGTCAAATGCGATCACACATGAGAAAAATGTATGAGTCTGCCCCCCACAACCCTAAGGGAAGAAAGGGGAGAGTAGACACTTACCATAAGGTCGTCATCCATAGGGAGCTCCTTGGATGCCCCTAGCGACCCAGGGTCTGCCTCTTTGTGGGAAGAACGCTGGTGCGGTCCTTTGCTCCTGAAAGCCAGCTCGTCCCAAATATGAACCTCGCTTCTGCCTATACGAACCTCTCTGTATACGGCCGGACAGACGGCTCCTTCCTCTTCCGGCCCCAACAAAAATTTTGTATGTTTCTTTGGGCTTCATCTAAAACCATGAAGGTGTGCACAACAGACCCCAACTCTTTCACAAAAGAATCACCAAATAACAGCCCTTTAGCCTGGGCAACTGGCTCATTAATAGCTAGATTTACCAGCTTTGGCTCGATTTTCAGCAAGATGGACTTGAGGCGCTCAGTAGCCAGCACTGAGTTTACGTCAGCCAGCGCTGAGTTGCAGCGTTCGGTAGCCAGTCCTGAGTTGCAGTGCTTGGTAGCCAGTGCTAAGTTTACGCTGAGTTTGGATCCAACCACGGATTAAATCCTGATCTATATCCCGGTCGTCTTTGACCACATCAAATATTTTTGCCACGGGGCCCAAAATGTCCAAGACCTTGTCTTAAAGCGGCACTGTCATGCCGAATCCTGGTTTTTTTTTTAACCCCCCTCCGGCCTCCACTACATCTAACTAACACCCTAGTCACCCCCAAATGCCCCTAAGCCCCTACATTACCTAGTTTTTATTCCTTATTTTCTGCCCCGATCTTTATTCAAGGCGCCGCCATCTTTGTGTGGGTAGATGAAGTCCCTATGGGACACGTCATCTGCCCTCACTAGATAGCACTGAGATTTCTGCACATGCCCAGTGAAACACCTGGACATGCGAACAGGAATTTCCTCTATTCATCAGACAGATGAATGAATGAATAGAAATATCAGCCAAACAAACTAACACTGAGTATCAGCGTTCGTTTGTTCGTGCAGTTTATTATAAGAAGGGAGTTCCGGCACGCAGCTCCCTCCTTGTAATATGTAACTATAGAAGCGGCAGGGAGCAGTGCTCCCCACCACTTCATAAGCCCCCCCCCCAGGTCCCCCCTCACTCTCTGGCGGTCAATATGACCCCCATAATAGCACAAGGGAGATTAAAATCTCCCCAATGCCCCTACTGCCTGTGGCTGCTCACTGTAAAAAAAAACCAAAAAAACTATTGGCCCCCACCCCTAAACGACGGGTGGGGGCCCTAAAGTAAAATAAGGGGGAGACCTACTGCCCCCCCGGCCCCCATCCCTGGGCGGCGGGTGGGGGCCATAATGAGAATGAGGGGGAGGGACCTACTGCCGCCCCCCCGGCCCCCACCCCTGAGTGGCGGGTGGGGGCCATAATGAGAATGGGGGGGGAACCTACTGCCCCCCCGGCCCCCACCCCTGGGTGGTGGGTGAGGGCCATAATGAGAATGAGGGGGGGAACCTACTGCCCCCGCCCCTGGGCGGCGGGTGGGGGCCATAATGAGAATGGGGGGGACACCTACTGGCCCCCACCCCCGGGTGGCGGGTCGGGCCATAGTGATAATAGGGGGGACCTACTGCCCCCCCCGGCCCCCCACCTATGGGCGGCGGGTGGGGGCCATAATGAGAATGAGGGGGGGGACCTACTGCCCCCCCCCAGCCCCCACCCCTGGGCGGCGGGTGGGGGCCATAATGATAATGGGGGGGACCTACTGTCCTACACCCCCCGGCCCCCACCCCTGGGCGGCGGGTGGGGGCCCTAAGTCAATTCCCCCCCCCACCAAGGTGACTAGGGGTCCCAAAGCCCCTAGTCACCCACCCCTACACCCAAATAAAAAGTCCCTACCTACCCCCCTCACCCTGTAAAATAGTGAGGGGGGGAATAAAATAACTAACCTGTAAAATAAAATGAAACTTACCATTCGACGTCTTCTTTTTTCTCAAATCTTCATTTTTCAGCCCCAAAAAAGGCCAAATAAAAAACCATCAGAACCGTCGAATTTGAAATAAAATAAACATCCCGAGCGCAAAAAAAAAAAACCAGACGAAAAAGAAAAAACCAGAGCGCAAAAAAATAATCAATCTTCACCCATAAAGGGCTCCGCGCAGACTGAGCTCCGCAGGGCGGGGGAAGGCTTATAAAGCCTTGAACCGCCCTGCAATTAGGCTAAGAGCCCTCTGATTGGTGGGTTTAAGCCAATCAGAGTGCTCTTTGTCATTTTACACAGTGTGGGAAATTCTTTTTTTCTCAAATCTTCATTTTTCAGCCCCAAAAAAGGCCAAATAAAAAAACCATCAGAACCGTCGAATTTGAAATAAAATAAACATCCCGAGCGCCAAAAAAAAACCAGACGAAAAAGAAAAAACCCGAGCGCAAAATAATAATCCATCTTCACCCATAGAGGGCTCCGCGCAGACTGAGCTCCGCAGGGCGGGGGAAGGCTTATAAAGCCTTGAACCGCCCTGCAATTAGGCTAAGAGCACTCTGATTGGTGGGTTTAAGCCAATCAGAGTGCTCTTTGTCATTTTACACAGCGTGTGAAAATTCAACTTACCTTGAAATCCATCCAATCACAGTGCTCTGTGTCATTTTACACAGCGTGGGAAAGTTCTTTTGAATTTTCCCACGCTGTGTAAAATGACACAGAGCACCGTGATTGGATGGATTTCAAGCCATCCAATCACAGTGCTCTGTGTCATTTTACACAGCATGGGAAAGTTCTTTTGAATTTTCCCACGCTGTGTAAAATGACACAGAGCACTGTGATTGGATGGCTTGAAATCCATCCAATCACAGTGCTCTGTGTCATTTTACACAGCGTGGGAAAGTTCTTTTGAATTTTCCCACGCTGTGTAAAATGAGACAGAGCACTGTGATTGGCTTAAACCCACCAATCAGAGTGTTCTTAGCCTAATTGCAGGGCGGGGCAAGGCTTTATAAGCCTTCCCCCGCCCTGCGGAGCTCAGTCTGCGCGGAGCCCTCCATGGGTGAAGATGGATTATTTTTTTGCGCTCAGGTTTTTTCTTTTTCGTTGTTTTTTTTTTTTGCGCTACGGATTTTTATTTTATTTTAAATTTGACGGTTCTGATGGTTTTTTATTTGGCCTTTTTTGGGGCTGAAAAATGAAGATTTGAGAAAAAAGAAGACGTCCAATGGTAAGTTTAATTTTATTTTACAGGTTAGTTATTTTATTCCCCCCCTCACTATTTTTTAGGGTGAGGGGGGTAGGTAGGGACTTTTTATTTGGGTGTGGGGGTGGGTGACTAGGGGCTTGGGGACCCCTAGTTACCTTGGTGGGGGGGGAAATTGACTTAGGGCCCCCACCCGCCGCCCAGGGGTGGGGGCCGGGGGGGGAGGACAGTAGGTCCCCCCCCTCATTATCTTTATGGCCCCCACCCTCCGCCCAGGGGTGGGGGCCGGAGGGGGGGTGGACAGTAGGTCCCCCCCCTCATTATCATTTGGCCCCCACCCGCCGCCCAGGGGTGGGGCCGGAGGGGGGGTGGACAGTAGGTCTCCCCCCCCCCTCATTATCTTTATGGTCCCCACCCGCCGCCCAGGGGTGGGGGCCGGAGGGGGGGTGGACAGTAGGTCCCCCCCTCATTATCATTTGGCCCCGCCCGCCGCCCAGGGGTGGGGCCGGAGGGGGGGTGGACAGTAGGTCCACCCCCCTCATTTTCTTTATGACCCCCACCCACCGCGCAGGGGTGGGAGCCGGGAGGGGGGACATTAGGTCTCCCCCCTTACTTTACTTTAGGGCCCCCACCCGTCGTTTAGGGGTGGGAGCCAATAGGTGGGAGCCACAGGCTGCTCACTGTTTACCAGACATGCCCCTACTCGCGGTATAGCGAGTAGGGACTGAATTTACTAATACTAAGTAATTTTTACTTGGTATTAGTAAATGTGGCTGAAAGACCAATTTAGGTCTTTCAGCCTTTTAGTAGATAGCTCCCTAATACCGTGGGAATTAGGGAGTTATCTACTAAGCGGCTGCAAGGTGCAGCCACAGCATGAATAGGATCGGAGTTTCATTCATTCGAATGAAATTGCGATCCGAATAAAGTGCCGAATTGAGTTCTAAAATAAACGAACATACTGTTCTCATTCAGTTAGAACACAATTCGGCTGTTTCGTGTAAAATGACAGGAAGCATCGCGGGAACACAGAGGAAAGGTAAGGATCATGGGAAAATTGCTCTGACCAGCGGAAATGAAGCACACTTTGCTCCTCCACTGGTCAGAGCTGGTCAAGCGGAGGAAACCTCCATAAGGCAAAGAGTCCCTACTTTGTCTTATGATTTTAAAGAAAACTAAAGAAGACAGGACGAAAAGAAGAACAGATCCTGAGAGATCTGAGATCTGAGACAATTAGTTAAAGCAAAATTCAGACCCCTTCTAGGTTTCCACCCAGTTTTCCGTAGGAATTGTGCAATTTTGTCATCAATGGGCGTATTACATGCGTCATCTGGGATAGTGGGACGGGGGCATTCTGCCCGTAATTTATTTTGAGTAGCCTTATCCAAGGGCTTACTTACTCTAGAAGCGATATATTTCGCCACATGATCAGAAGGACACCATTCCGCTGAACGCGGATGTCTAAATTGTCTGGGTCAAAAAAGGGTAAACCCAGAGGATCCAGGATCCTGGAATCGTCACCAGACCCCAACAGACTTACCTGGCCTCCTGACATTGTAGCAGGGAAAGTGCTGAGGGAGGAGGGGGATGCCCCTCCAATCGCATCTTCAGAGTCTGATTCGGACTGACCATCCGAGACTTCCCTATCGGACTTGTCCATTTCCTCCTCAATGTCGCTGAGCTTTGACTCAGACAAATCAAGCTGGGCTCTTCACTGCTTCCATAATCTAGTCGATTTTGCCTGGCTAATGGCTCTTTTGAGCGGTGGTGGTTGCGTGCCATCTGTGACAGTAGGCAGACTGTCAGTCAATACAGTTTTGGAGGAATGTTTTGTCTTGACCGTAGCCTTACGGCCTTGAGAGACCGGTGTCAGAGTAGATGCAGTTGACATACCCGTCTGCTGAGCAGTCTGTTGGGCTTGTAAGAGGGCCTGGGTGATAGTATGCGACAGAGGAGTTGACACAGCGCCCATAGCAGATGCCATGGCCTGCGTAATGGACCTAGAGACTCGAAAAGCGCCTGCATGTCCGCAGATGTGGAGAAATCAGGGGACA